GACACACTGCAGCCCCACCTGCACTTCGAGCTGTTTCCCTTCCAAAGAGTTTGCCTGGAGAAAAGAAGAAGTTGAAAGGGAGGAAGTCAAGGTGAAATCCGCTGGTTCGTCCTGTGTTGTTTCATCATGTGTAAAGGGGTTTCGTCACAGGTCTTTGCTCTGCCAGTCTTGATATCTCTAATCAGTCCCCATGAAGGTCCAGAGATGTCCAGAGTGAAACAAAATGATATAGATTTTTATATAGCAATTCTTCAACGCGAATTGCTAAGCGCTTGCGGCAAGTGGAAAGACATGGAAAGACAGACAGGCGATTTGTCAATGTGCCAACCAACAGGCAGGCGCTACCAGCGCACTTGAGTTCAAACCTAGGGATTTGCTACGCAACGGCAGTTGGGGCCATGGGCAACTGGAAACACCAGAATTGGTGACTGCTGCAGTCGAAAAAGAAAGAGACAAGAAAATATGCTTCAAATCAATTCCAATCATACATTCCACTGTCCCAGTTGCCCCAGTTGTCCCAGTTGTCCCAGTTGTCCCAGTTGTCCCTGTCCCTGTCTTTCCATGGATTTCAAGATATTTCAAGCATTTTTGTGTTACCAAAATGGCCACCCAGAGGCGATCCGATTTCTGGTCGGACTTCAGCAGCATGACCTTTTCGCAGCCACAGCTCAGTTTCTCAGGATTTTTCCAACTTTTTTTCCCACCGGTCCCTAGCACAGCTGTGAAATTAAAACATTCAAGTGCTAGCTGATTTTTTTCAGGAATGCAAAGGTGCAACAGATTGCTCAACGATTGCTTATACAAGGGATCTGACTGGTACAGTAGGGCAAGGATCACGCATGAGCACACCATATTTGTGCAAGCTTGAGAAACAAATATAAAGAAGAAAATACAGCATGGAAGTTTGCCAGGGCTTCAAACAAAGGTATTCAAATGCAGAGTTACAGGAGAAGTCACATTCTCAAATGCCCCTGCAAAAACCAATTGCATGTTGTGGACTCGATGTGGTTCCCCCAAATCGTTTAGATACGGGTACCCAGCAGTGCCCAGCAGCCCGCATCACCTCCGTTCGCAGAGCATTCAAATCCTTGATGCAGTTGGCAGTCTGCTCACGCACCAGCCTCACCGGCTGAGCAGGATGTCAAAGGCCAGGAACAGCAAAGTTAACACAACTTATTCTGGTTGGTGGTGCAATAACCATCTTGAAAAATATGATTTCGTCAATGGGAAGGATTATCCCATATATGATGGAAAATAAAAAATGTTTGAAACCACCAACCAGAGTACTATCCTGTTGGACCACCTGGGCTAGATCGATACCATATATATATATATATTATTATTATGGAAAAATAAAAAATGTTCCAAACCACCAACCAGGATTGATGTCTTATTTGTTCCTCCGGAGACTCTTGGGTGATTTATGAGCTGCCAACTCCTACTTGACAGTTGTTCTATATCTGTACACTGTACCTATCATGTTTGAGACCCAGAACTTCATAATCATGCTTGTTCCATAGAAGGCACTGGCCAAACGAGCAACATCCAATTAGCATCAGTTAGCACAATCTAGCACTTCCTGCAAGAAGCTGGGGTGTGTCAGAAGAAACACGGACTGCAGCCTCAGCTGAGTATCTTTGAAATCGATCTCCTGCAAAGGCAGTCATTGCAGTTCACAATTGGGAGTGTCTCAAACATTCTCAAGCCATCTTTTTTGAGTCATACTGAAAACCTGAAAACCTGATCGGAGAATTCATTGCTCGTGGCGTCCAGTGAGTCCAGTCCTGCGAGGCCGAGAAGGCACTGAAGTCCGCCGAAAGACGTGTTGACACGGCGGACGGATGTCGTCCCGTCTCCATCTGGGCGCTCGGACAAACAGGTACCCGAGGTGAATCACAAACGAAGTCATGTTGCCTCCCTTTGAAATACCATTCCGTTCCCCGTTTTCCCCCAATTTCCCCCGTTTTCCCATGTTTTCCCCCGTTTTCACCCGTTTTCCCCTGTTTTCCCCCGTTTTCCCCCGTTTTCCCCCGTTTTCCCCCGTTTTCCCTATCAGCTTACGTGTTTGGCTTTGACCATCAACAACCTTTCACATGACAAGATTGGTGCAAGGCAGCTGCACTTCCCACATTTTCAACCTATGCTGCTCAGCGCACGTCGCAGCCATCAGTCACAGTTGCGGGCCACAAGCACCTGATTTCCGTCGTTGTTGGGGCGAAAATATTGTATCATCCACTGGGACCAAGCCGCTATTCTGGCGAATCTAACGGCGCTTGACATACCTGGTACATTCCAAGTTGGAATCTTATCATAAATGATCATAATTGTCATATATAAATGAATCATAAATGCCAATCTGATCATATGAATATATATATATGAATCATAAATGTCATAAATGCAGTTCGGCCGCTGTGTCCTGCAACACCCCACGCAGGGGCAACGTATCCGAAACCTGGATGCAACCGGTGTTTCAACACCCAAGTGATTTGGTAAGGCAGCGACAATGTGCCGAATGGCAGAAGCTGCAAGTTTATACATGGGTATGGATCAATACCTATTAATACCATTTTTAGGGGAATGAACATCCATTTACCAGCTATTTTGATGTTCACCAGGGGTACAAGGTTTTGACACACTGCCACATGTTTGCAGGGTCTTTCGCCGATTGTTCCGACAATCTCCCGGAGGCTGACACTGCGGCCCGCATCGCCCCGCCTTTGATCGGTACATCGCATGTAATGTGCGAAACTCGCGTCGGCCGGACTGAAAGCCACGTACCACCTGTGGAGCTTAGCCATCGGGCTGCACAGTGCACATCACATCACATAAGCCGCAGTATCCAGGACCCACATGACTTCAGGTCCAGCGATGTTGCAGTCTTATCCAAAATACCAAGGCTGAGATTTGATGATATTTCTTCTGTAAATGGCATAGTTCGACTCTCAAATGTGTTTATACATGTTGATACTGAATATATTGAATTATATTTAATTCATTGAATTAGATTTAATTGATGTTAATTCTGTCTTTAGGAAGCCTCGCCAGAATCCCACCACCTTGATATGTTCATCATCGTTGTGTAGAAAGCGCTGCCACAGTTGGGTGCGTCTGAGGCTTTCGTCACTGCACTCATCCTCGGTCAAGTCTTCGAAGTTTTCCTGGCCAACTTTGAGTGGATCAATGAAGAATTGATGTTCAAGAATGGGTCAAGTTACCCAACCTGGTAATGACTAACATAGCTATTGAAAATGACCATTTATAGTGGATTTACCCATTGAAAATATTTGAAAATGGTGATTTTCCATATGTTAGTTTACCAGAGGGTAATAACAGCAGAGCCGAAGTGCATCACAGCGAATCCATCAGTGCTCTTAGATCGAAAGTTCTGAGTCGCCCAACCTGCAAGAGACCAGCATAGAAGCGACGGTCGTCCGCCTTCAACTGCAAGTCCTGAAGATTGGCGTCCGTAAGAATTCAAAGATGGCTGACATGGTCCAACATCGCCAACCCAGACTCCAACATCTTGTCATGACATGGCAGTGTGTCAAAACCTTGTACCCCTGGTGAACATCAAAATAGCTGGTAAATGGATGTTCATCCCACTAAAAATGGTATTAATAGGTATTGATCCATACCCACATCAAAGAATTGCTGTGTATTCCACCGCACTCCTGCCGGGTCCACTCATCCCCATCGACCACGGACCATACACCACTGAGTGCTGCAGCTGAGACAGCACCAGTCAGACTCCTCGTTTTTCTCCAAAGGTAACAGTGCAACGAACCAAAGTGAGAAATCCTCAGGTTGATGCTCTGATATCAACCACCTGACATCTACTGACCTACTGCTAGTTTGCCAGGTGGCATTCTGATGCATAGAAAAGGGAATGCTATAATGCTGTCCTCCGATCAATTGGTAAGGGCAATGGCAAAGTTCTGTGCATTCTTGCCCAAAGTATCCAGACACTCAGAGCATTCGCTCTGGTTCTTGATGTTCTCCCCAGGAAGTTTCCCTCAGACACCATCAAAAACCCTCTGCCGCGGCCTGGGGAGCTTTCTTGTTTGACTGAAGAGAGGTGTGTGCACAAGTTTCATCCCCAACTTCTTCAGCAAGGCAGGGGTGAGTTGTGCACCACCTCAGAGAATGGACCGGCTGCAACTGGCCTCTGATGCCTTTGGTTGTTTTTGTCATGCCAGACACGATCCAGTCGAGTCATGTCGAGTCGGCATGCAAAGACATGGAAGGGTTTCAGAAATGCTGGTTGGTTTATATCAAAGATGAAATGACCAAAGTGCCCCTGGCTATTCAGAGGTTGCAAATGCACGTTGTCTTGAGTTTGTTCAACACATTGCAGATTTTGCTCCTAAATATGCTTGAAGCGCGTGGATCACAGGAAGGGAACTTGCACAAAGGCTTCTGGTAACAATTCAGAAAACCGGCATCCATGACATTCCTTTCTTTACAAATGATCACTGGACCAAACTGAGTTGCATCACGTTGATATCCCAGAAAAGGTCCAAAAAAAAAAAAATATATATATATATATATAAATGCAATTTGTCAAACCAGATTTCCCGTCCTCTCTGTGGTCCGTCCTTTTCTTCCCGGCCTGCAAGAGGTTGGTGAAGTCGTTGAGCTGCTCTGCCATTCAGAAGCCATGGTGGAGCCAGGGCCAAGTCGTCCTAGGGGAAGGAGAAAAAGTGACTTCAGAACTCGAATCCGTGTGGGCAGAAAAGCGTTATATATATATATATATATCTATCTATCTATATCATATATATATATGATTGATGTCAGGTATTACGTATTATCTTACATCATGTTACGTATCCTTACAAGTAGCGCGTTCGCAGTTGCTAGCACGCAGAATCTCAGGTGCTGAGGCAGTGACACTTTGATCCACGTAGGCAAACACCAAATCTCAGGGTCGGTGCTGATTGGATCTGATTGGTTGGTGTTTTAGAAGGCTTGCGCTCGATCATCCCAGACGGAAGCGGCTCAAGGCGATTGCAGTAATCGTGATTACCGATCTATGGATATCTATGGATATTCAGAGGCACATGTAGCATGTGCAAATGACGCTCCAGCACATGATGAGGCTAACAGCACTCAACCTGCACTGATCGATTTTTGCTGAAAACCCACGCCTGGATGAGGTGGCAAGTAGTCCAAGTCCTGAATTTGGTGGGTCTGGATCCATGGTCATTTCGCAGATTCCCAGGGGAGGTTAGCCTAGCATCAAAAAAATCCAGACACTCGCGGGCAGGTCGGTCCTGCAAGAAATGCCCCACAGCAGCCCGGTGCAACCACATGCCAGCTGAAGCGAGGAAATACCAATGATCCAGCAGGAACTGGAGCGGACAGGGCGTTGGATGAGAAGAAAAGAAAATCCATACCAGAAAAGCTTTCAATGAAGTCATCGTGACATTCTTTCCTTCTGAGAATGATGAGAGGGAAACAGATATCTGGAGCACACCGCACAGCTGCCCCAAAAAAATGTTGATCAGTCCGAGTTGACGAGGAAACATTCTTCAACCTGCCTCTTTAAGGGGCATTGGTTCAGAATAACAGCCAACCCGAGATGCAAACAGTCTTGATTCAGCAAGTTTCCTTTGGAACAAGTTGGTACTGGTACTGTAGATTGAACCGTGACAATACAAAAGACAACTGACATCAACTGACCATCAACCGTTCAAATTCACTGCTTTCAATCAGAAACAATCTCTGACCGATCAGCCCTTTGAGGAGACCCCGCACCTCTGTCTTGAGAATGTCTCCCACCAGGATCTCTTCCAGGTTGTCCACAGAACCAGGCCAACGTGCCTGTTTCGGAAAGCCGCGTGTGCAAGGATTGGCAAGGCATTACGTCCGTTCGGTGCTTTTTATCTCCACACATTGTGACATTGCTTTGCAATTGCTAAGGCTGGAAGCTTTTCTCTCGATGCCGCTAGGCTGAATATTGAGAAAAGCAGCTACAGCAATGACATCATTTGAACTCATGGAAAGTGTGATATAGATATCCAATGGCCCTTGAAATATAGCGCAAACAGTTCAGGGATATCTCCACTTTTCCCTCCTGAAATTCCCCCCATCGGGATGGTGACCTGGAAATAATCCTCCAGCGTCTCCGGTGACAGCTCGCTCCCATGCGACAAAGTGGGCGGCTGCTCCACGGCATCGGCGGCCTGGGAAGCCTCGAAATCACCACGACATCCGGAGGATATGGATTGGTTTGAGGGAAATTTTGATCAGGAAAACCCCATATTTAATGGGAAAATCTATGGTTTCCTGTAGATTTTCCCTTAAACCAATCCATTGATACAAGAGAACGGCAAACTTCTTTGGATTTCTTTGATTTCTTGGGAGTCTTTTTGCTACGTCGGTTGTGAGTTGCGTGGTTGGTCCTACATCAAGAATTTTGCAAACCAAACATCGGATAAAAGAAGTGACTACGCTTCAAGATAGTTTACTTTGGTCTAGTTGCAGAGAAAGAAGGATTCTTGGCCAGCATCTTGTCTTTCCAAAACAGCGGCTACTGTACCCGCTCCCGCCTTGCAAAAACGTATCCTGAAGGCCAGGTTTCAAAGGTGCTCAAGACCCAGCTATCATCAGATATCACTGATATCACTTGAAATCGAACGAGCCAGGACCAATGTCAACAAACGAATTGCATGGTTTGGTGGCCATGCATCAATGCATCAAATCAGAGCATGCATGAACTCCTGACCTGCCAGCCTGCACCAGTTTCAAGGGGCTAGAAAGCTTGTTGGGACCATTTCTCCATTGTTAATTCCCTCCATTCATGTCAGCATAGGGGGTCTTTTCGCTTCCACCACCTGCTGGCCTCTCAGCAACTTGCTGGTAGGTCCAAACACCCTCAGCGCGCGGAAGCTCACCTTGCGCTCACATGCGACAACCAGTTCACCCGTTCGGCAGTCGGGTCAGGCCAGGACACACTGCAAGTTGGGAAAGTCTGACTCGAAGGGATGCAAACCATCATCGTTCTGTCCCAATGTGGACTTCGAAAGGCCGCCTGAGCAGGACCCCAAAGGTTTCACAGGTTGGATGTAGGTAAATTTGTAGGCCAACCTTTGCCAGTCCACTTGGCAGCAAGGTGTCAGAGTAACTAACTACTGGACTTCCTACACAACAGCACCAGAACTTGGAGGGGATTTGAGGGGTGTGAGTTCCAAACTGCACATGATCTGCTGCTTGTGTCCGTACCCTCTGGTTATGACTAACATAGCCATGGAAGCCATGGCCCATAGAAATAGATGATTTTCCCAGCTAGAAACCTCCATTTAGTTTGGGGATTAACCAGATGGTAAATGACCCAGATTCTGAAGTGTCAAAAGGCAAATCTGCTGCCCACGCCTGTGGCAATCCAGTGGTGAGTCAGCACATCGGCCTGCAGCAATGTCGCCCCTGCCCCGGTGGGCGGGATGCACTCGATTGAGATCTGATTGGAAAGTGTTCGTTGGCGAGAGTTCTTGCTTTTAAAGTTGTATTTTCATTCATCCAGTATCATTATTCTGCTTTTTGAAGATGTGTTGCAACGTATCCAGCATGTAAGGTATGTGCCATCAATCTTCCACATCATGTTCATGAGATTTTTCCCCTAAACTCAGCCCTTCTCATCATTTTCACTCGCCGCCTCATCTGCCACGCCATCCGCTTGACAACGAAATCCCGGTACATGGACTAACGGGACGGCCGTGTAAAGTGCACAGTAGGCCAGGGAGATCGCGTTGGAGCCGGTGTATGGACACGTCCTGGTATCCAAAGGACCAATGGATGGCCATGGCCATGGTCAAAACATGGTGGGTATGGTCCATCCCACAATGGGACTCCATATTAATCATAATGGGTGTATAAATCCCTACATATTCATGGATTGATGACTATACCCAACATGGGCAATGAAAAACCGAAGTTTGACCATGGCACATTTTTGAGAAGCTTGGCTGATCTTGGCTGAGAAGCCGTGAGATCCCTTGATGGCCTGTTTCCAGCATGGTGCAAAACGGATCATAAATTGCGGCCGACGATCTTGCAGGAGGCATGCTGGGAGATACGTGCCAAAGCACTGCGGCTCAAAGCAATGGCACTGTCGGTGCAGGGAACATCAAAATCATAGACCTGTCCCGCAATGCAAAGAAACACAGCCAAGTCCATCTTTGCAAACAATGGTTTTTCTGATCATGACCCTATAATGTTGATGATGGAGGCGTGCTCAAATTAAGATAATCATAGATAAACTATAAAAAGATATACACTCTGGTAAACTAACATAACTATGGAAAATCACTAAAAAAAATCAACTATAAATAGCCATGTTCAATAGCTATGTTAGATTACCAGAGGGTACACTCTATCCAGTACTTCTGCAACTGATATCCAGTACTTCTCTCCAGAACTCGGCACACTGCAGGCTGCAAGCGCTGCAAGCGGCCTCTGTGTCTGAAAGAACCTTGGCTTCGGATTGGTCCGAAGAAATCACACCAGCATTAATTGACATCGAGATTGATGGGAATCTGATGGGAATCTGACAATGTTTGGACAATGTTTGATTGAAAACTCGATGCCTTCTTGAATATATGTTCTGTGCACACTTGCAAACATATGCAAACATACTGGTGCCAACTCTGGAAGTTGACCGCAAAACGCACTAGATGGTCACATCACGCGAGTCGCAAATTAAATTAATAGGTAATTAATAATTAACAATATATAGACTTTTTTCACTAAATACTTCAACTTGTTCAGGGTTCACTTTCACTGGCAGCAAGAGATTGCCTCCGAGAAGCATGAGCGAATATCACTGGGTGGTCGTCTCGAGAAGCATGACCCGCCAGGAAATAGTACAGTCGGGCAGTGTTTATGTACACATCATCCCCGAGGATGACGAGCCAGCGCATGTCATCTGGCAGACTGCCCACCGAGTACATTTGCTTCACCTGGTTCATCCAAATCATCAAGCCTCAAATCAGTTCTGAGAGATATCTGCGCGCAGAATGTTGCCATACCTGGCATACCTTCTCAACATTTCTCAACGATTCACAGGCAGCCTCTCGGTTCCTCCCCTCTTTTGGCACTTTTTCGCGGGAACGCGATGTGAGATTCTCAAAATAGAATGCTGCCGAAGGACGCGACATTGCAACTGCATCTTTTTGGCCTGTGTCGCACAGCTTTAAAGTAAACCTGCAAGATGCAAATTGAATGATCACTGTTTTTGGTCTACGAATAAGATTCCCATATGAAACATTGACATACATTGACTGCATGAGAAACTCTCAGTGTCCAAGGATGTCCTCCCGCCATATTTACAGTGACATGGCCTCGTTGCGCTCCATCATTCATCACCATCTGGAAGCTGGGAGGCAAACCTGCAGCCAAACAGCAAGAAACCATCAGAAACCAAGTGATCTCTGGGGACCCTGGGGAAATTCAGATCTCTGATCCAAAACCGGTTGAAGACTCGGCAGAAATCGGGCTGGTGCCTGGTATCAAGGCATCAACCAAATAGATGCGATTGGCTGCCTCATAGCTGGAGATCTTCGTGCCAACTGAGTGGAAGATCATGATTTTCAGTCCAGTTCGGAATCATCCAGCGATGAAAAATATGCCCAGAGTAAAACCATGTAAAACCTGATCCAAATTGAAGAAGTATGGCACTATCCCACACGCTGTCTATGGGGTCACACCTGGTGCTATTCCAAGCTACGCTGTGCATCCAGGTGCGCTCCATGCGTACCGCATACTCGGCCCTGGAGATCAGGATCTTGCACCGACAAACATCATCGACAGGGGAACTCGCACCAGAAAGATGCTTTTCCGACAGAAAATCGGCACCAAAAAGATCGATCGAAAATGACAGAAAGACAAATAATGACAAAATGACATAAAGATCCAATAAAGATCCATAACGTATCCCCCCCTGGGCCTCTCAAGTGAAGCAACAACCACAAAAGAGATGTGCCGCATTCCAAGGTCCTCCGCAGGAGCGAATCCGGGAAAGCTTTTTAGAAAGCTGGGCAAAAAATGGTCTCCCTCAGTCAGAACAATAGGAATAAATAAGAATACCATGGCTGTTGAACTTGCAGTACCTAGGTCCCAAACGACACTCTACCGGTCACTGCTCTAACTCACGTTTACCCTTCAAAAGGAATAGTGTGGGTCATTTAGCTTCTTTTTGTCGTCACAGTGGCAACCCAACATGAACGGCTGCCGTTCTGGCTTACATCTGGTGTCTTCCCCCACAGCATAGCTCAAGGCCCTAGGCTCCTCATCAACACGCAGTAAAGGGCCACCCAATGAGGGCAGCGACGTGAAGTGTTCATAGTCAGCCAAGCTCCAAAATCCTGAGTCCATGAATCAAGCAAACCAACCAAAATGGGATATGAAACCGACCATTTTGGATGTAAATACTTCAAAATGCAAAGGATCTAACTTTGATCTGGAAAGCAATCTCACGTATTCTCACCTTTCTGCCGGCGACTTTGGCCCCGTCTTGCTCTGACACTGAACCTCTCTGCTGAAACTAGCCAGGCATCTTTCAAATCTTGCTGCTGCGCTCCAAAAGCAGCTCCTTTTTCAGGTGGTACTGTACTGGACACTACCCTTGTTGATGGGCTTTCGGCCATGCTGCAACTGTAAAAACGCAGAAACGGCCAGTGTTTGAAGTCAAATGATCTCAATTTGTCCATTTTGTCCATTTTGTCTTACACTTACCTCCTGAAAATCGACTTTTGACCTTGAGCCGCTCTCCTGTTTTCAGCTCCATCCGCGTTTTTGCCAAGCAGGAGGACCCAGACCAGCCACCAGCGTCGCCACATCTGGCTGTATGAAGACCATGGGCGAACAATGAAAAGGACTGCCCTTTTGGGCAATCGCAGGAAATTCTGCTGTTTGCTGTATGTCAATGTGTAGAACAAAGATATGTGAGAGAGCTTTGGATTATTTTGGATTCGCCATTGCTAGTGACCTTTTCCACAGACTCCAATATCGGGTTCACTGAGAATCACCTCAACACAAAACGCTGGTCGCATCAACAAAGCCAAAAAAAAAGTCAGTGGAGTGTTACTGTGAAACCAAGACTTTGGTATCACCCTTTCCGAATCGCATGGAGTGCATTACAATCACTTGGTCTGTACATCTTGTGGCCAAAAATGACTTCGGAAATGAGCTATATGAGCTAAATGAGCAATGTAGTTGCAAATGTGCACCCAAGCAGTCGCTTTTCATGTTGCATCAAAATTGGCTGAACATATCTGAACATTAATTTGAGGCTGCAAGATGCTGCAAGTGCAAACATTATCCCAATGAACAAAACTTAAAAGCAACTTCCAGGGAAGAATCTGTTGAAGGACTTTGCGAATGCAAATCTTGCTTGGGTGCAAGGTGCCGTTTCACGTGGCATCAATGTCAAATTTGCTGCTCACACCCCCCTTCCAACACAACCCAAGCATTTCGATTTGGACTATCTCAGTGCGACTTCACAGCTCTCCACCCGGACTGTGCTACCCAGCAAGATGCTACCCGGCTCGGAAAGGAAAATGAAGTCACATTGAAAGGGCGAAGGGCAGAAGCTACGGCCAGGCCAGGGAAATGTTGTGTTCACCCTGTGGATGTCTTTAGCCAAGATCTGCACAACACTTCCCAGTATTGTGCTTGAAGTACCACAAGACAGGACTTACAGCCGTAAAGGGTTGCTCATTCTGATTTCGTGCACGCGGCTTGTTAACACCTATTAGCCTATTACCTCGCACATCACACAGCATTTCCAGAATTTATGGCGATGAGGAAAGCAAATACAATGATCGAAGCAGCTCTGAAAACAGCACTCTGCTTTCATATTTAGTTTGAGATTGCTAGCAATCCTAGGCAAACCCATACCTGTACTTGCGCTTGAGATCAGAGTTGTAATGCATGTCACATGCAGAGCTGATGTGCTGACCATGATCTGGGTTCTTAGTTCAAGCAGGAGAAATCTGGTCAAATCAGTGACAAAATGTGGGTCTATCACTCCTTCAAATCTGCCACCTCAAGAATCTCAAGCATCTCTCATGTCGTGTCTTATATCAGCAACTTCGACAGACTATTGCAATCTATTGCACAAATGCATAAAATAATCACAATAGCCAGCAAATGCTTTGAGACTGACTATCTTTCCCAACACAGTGGCATCAGCAGTTGCATGAACTCGTGCACCGCATCAATTTAGCAGCCTTGTGTTTTTCCAAGTCTTGCGCTTGCACTGTGGCGACACTGCACGACAAGTACTACCAATACATGTCGGGCAGCAAGAAATCGCGGTCAAAACTTGCGCATGACTCATGCTGAGATCAAAAAATCCGCACCTTCCCTCTCCTTTCATCTTCTTTCAAGGACTAGGAGTGACTAGGCAGATTGCAAGTCAAGTGTTCGACCGATCTGACTCTCCAACTCTGTGAACTCCTTCAAGAGCTTTTGGCACCTCTGCTTCTCCTCTTTGATAGCTCCTTGGTGCGATGCGGTCGATTCATGGACAACCACCTGCTATGAGAGTCAGTGTGAACTCGAGATCCATCAAATAATTAAATAAAAAGAGAGCAGTTTGAAAATGTGTGAAATAGCTTGAATCCTTTTGAATGTCTATTTGTCAGGTTTGTAAATAGGTTCGGATTGTATGGTTCCAAGTTCAGGCTGATTCAGGCTGTCTTTGTTACCGAGTCAGGGCGGCGCGACTATTCAAGGGACCCCAGTATCACCTGGCGTTGTATCGAACATCAAACACGCTATGCATACGCTACGCACAGCTTGGTCAACCCTCTGCCGACCCTTGCAAGCAGCCAAGTCTCCATCCAGGTTTTCCCTTAGCCCGCGAATCTCGGTATCGACGTTCCGTTGTTCTTGCATCAACTCTGAGATCTTGTTCTCGAGCCGCCACTTTTTTGTCTCGAAACTGTCCTCCTGGGCACCAATAAAATGCAGGAACTGATTGGACCTCTTGCCCCACCACCAGTCCAACTTGTGAAATTCCTTGAATGTTGCGGGAAGGCTTTGTTTGATCTCCTCCTTTCTGCCCTCTTTCCGCTTGCGAAGTTCTTGCATACATTGCTCTCTGTCCAGCACGCCGTTCTTCAAGTCCTCATAGTACTTCTTCTTCTCTGTCCAAGTACGGAACTGGGAGGAGTCCATACGTGCTGCTGGTAACTGAGAAATCAAGAATTTGAGCCCTTCAACACCGTCATCTGAACCCTGTTCATTCTTGACATAGTTTCGAAACTCTCCAGCCTTTCCAGGGCCAAATAGAATGTTGGCAACAAAATGGGCGACCTCCGTTGCCTTCTTTTCCCGTTCATATGCTTGCTCCTCATTGCGTCGGATGCCCTGCTGTTTGAGACTGAAGCTATTTGGAAGCTTGTTGATGTAGAGAATCAGCCTCGTCTCTGAGAGCAAGCCATTGAAACATTCCCTCAAAGCCAGCAGAGCATACTGAAGTTCTTGCGTGAGCCTGCTGCTAGCATCGATCATAAGAACCACACCATTCAATGGGTTCTCTTTGGCATGCTTCATGAAAGCATCAAGAAAACTCACTCCCCTTCCATTCGTGTCTGGAATTCCTGGAGTGTCACTCACGTTCAAACACATTTCCCATTTGGTTTGATTAAAGTCAAATGTCACGTTCGCTGGCCCTTTCGACAGCACTCTCGAGGTACACGACTCAAATGCAGAGCTCACACGCGGCCCGTGGTCTGGTTTCAGCTCCTCATCAGCTGAAGTGGCAGGACGAAGCCCCATGAGCTCGTTGATGGTCGTCAATTTCCCCACACCCGAAGGTCCGACAAGGGAAACCCATTTTGGTTCCTCAGTCAAAGCTGGGGTGAGTGAAGATAGCGATGCAATGTGTGATCCTGCAATGGATTGAATTGCATGAATCTCTGACCTCATCTACTAGATTAGGCTCCCTGGTCTAAGCAACTCCACCAATATGTGTCACATAAAACACCTGCTACAAACCTTGAGTGGCTTGACACCTCAGGAATATTCAGGAACTACCGAACTACAATGGTCCAGAAAGAAACGCTCCTCACACATCCTCACACTACAATAGGGCCATAGAGATTGACAAGTTCAGCAGCACTAAATCCTGTTCAAGAACACTTCTCACTGCCCAAGGGACCGAGTGCTGCGGCTGCGGCTGCGGCTGCGGCTGCTGCGGCTGCTGCGGCTGCTGCGGCTCTTGCCGTGCCCAACCCTGATCGCCAAGTGGGTGTCGCGACAGCAAGTCACCAAAAAATGGCGGCATGTTAATACTTATCACTTATCCATACTTATCCCATTTTGTCAGTGTAGATTGTATGGCATGATGATTTCCGTTGATTTCCCGTTTTGTTTCTGGGTGTTTTTGGTTCTCCACATCATCTATCCACACGAACACAGAGACAGCTCACCGATCTGCCTTGGGAAGCCAGAAGAAAAGTGGTTCCAGTCCCCGAAGAAGTAGCGCCAAGGAAACCATGAGACCAATGAGGCGGCGCTGCTTAGCCATCTGGGAAAGGAGCTGGGTTTGGTGTAGCAGCAACTATCACTTCAGCAAGAGTGGCTCCGCCATAAGACCGTAGCCATCGAGCTCAAAAGACTCTTAAGACATACCTCATGCAGTGCGTGTGTTGTGCCTCATATCAGCAACTTCGACAGACTATTGCAATCTATTGCGCAAATGCATAACATAATCACAACAGCCAGCAAATGCTTTGAGACTGACTATCTGTCCCAACAAAGTGGCATCAGCAGTTGCATGAACTCGTGCACCGCATCAATTTAGCAGCCTTGTGTTTTTCCAAGTCTTGCGCTTGCACTGTGGCGACACTGCACGACAAGTACTACCAATACATGTCGGGCAGCAAGAAATCGCGGTCAAAACTTGCGCATGACTCATGCTGAGATCAAAAAATCCGCACCTTCCCTCTCCTTTCATCTTCTTTCAAGGACTAGGAGTGACTAGGCAGATTGCAAGTCAAGTGTTCGACCGATCTGACTCTCCAACTCTGTGAACTCCTTCAAGAGCTTTTGGCACCTCTGCTTCTCCTCTTTGATAGCTCCTTGGTGCGATGCGGTCGATTCATGGACAACCACCTGCTATGAGAGTCAGTGTGAACTCGAGATCCATCAAATAATTAAATAAAAAGAGAGCAGTTTGAAAATGTGTGAAATAGCTTGAATCCTTTTGAATGTCTATTTGTCAGGTTTGTAAATAGGTTCGGATTGTATGGTTCCAAGTTCAGGCTGATTCAGGCTGTCTTTGTTACCGAGTCAGGGCGGCGCGACTATTCAAGGGACCCCAGTATCACCTGGCGTTGTACCGAACATCAAACACGCTATGCATACGCTACGCACAGCTTGGTCAACCCTCTGCCGACCCTTGCAAGCAGCCAAGTCTCCATCCAGGTTTTCCCTTAGCCCGCGAATCTCGGTATCGACGTTCCGTTGTTCTTGCATCAACTCTGAGATCTTGTTCTCGAGCCGCCACTTTTTTGTCTCGAAACTGTCCTCCTGGGCACCAATAAAATGCAGGAACTGATTGGACCTCTTGCCCCACCACCAGTCCAACTTGTGAAATTCCTTGAATGTTGCGGAAAGGCTTTGTTTGATCTCCTCCTTTCTGCCCTCTTTCCGCTTGCGAAGTTCTTGCATACATTGCTCTCTGCCCAGCACGCCGTTCTTCAAGTCCTCATAGTACTTCTTCTTCTCTGACCAAGTACGGAACTGGGAGGAGTCCATAGGTGCTGGTGGTAACTGAGAAATCAATAATTTGAGCCCTTCAACACCGTCATTTGAACCCTGTTCATTCTTGACATAGTTTCGAAACTCTCCAGCCTTTCCAGGGCCAAATAGAATGTTGGCAACAAAATGGGCGACCTCCGTTGCCTTCTTTTCCCGTTCATATGCTTGCTCCTCATTGCGTCGGATGCCCTGCTGTTTGAGACTGAAGCTATTTGGAAGCTTGTTGATGTAGAGAATCAGCCTCGTCTCTGAGAGCAAGCTATTGAAACATTCCCTCAAAGCCAGCAGAGCATACTGAAGTTCTTGCGTGAGCCTGCTGCTAGCATCGATCATAAGAACCACACCATTCAATGGGTTCTCTTTGGCATGCTTCATGAAAGCATCAAGAAAACTCACTCCCCTTCCATTCGTGTCTGGAATTCCTGGAGTGTCACTCACGTTCAAACACATTTCCCATTTGGTTTGATTAAAGTCAAATGTCACGTTCGCTGGCCCTTTCGACAGCACTCTCGAGGTACACGACTCAAATGCAGAGCTCACACGCGGCCCGTGGTCTGGCTTCAGCTCCTCATCAGCTGAAGTGGCAGGACGAAGCCCCATGAGCTCGTTGATGGTCGTCGATTTCCCCACACCCGAAGGTCCGACAAGGGAAACCCATTTTGGTTCCTCAGTCAAAGCTGGGGTGAGTGAAGATAGCGATGCAATGTGTGATCCTGCAATGGATTGAATTGCATGAATCTCTGACCTCATCTACTAGATTAGGCTCCCTGGTCTAAGCAACTCCACCAATATGTGTCACATAAAACACCTGCTACAAACCTTGAGTGGCTTGACACCTCAGGAATATTCAGGAACTACCGAACTACAATGGTCCAGAAAGAAACGCTCCTCACACATCCTCACACTACAATAGGGCCATAGAGATTGACAAGTTCAGCAGCACTAAATCCTGTTCAAGAACACTTCTCACTGCCCAAGGGACCGAGTGCTGCGGCTGCGGCTGCGGCTGCGGCTGCTGCGGCTGCTGCGGCTGCTGCGGCTCTTGCCGTGCCCAACCCTGATCGCCAAGTGGGTGTCGCGACAGCAAGTCACCAAAAAATGGCGGCATGTTAATACTTATCACTTATCCATACTTATCCCATTTTGTCAGTGTAGATTGTATGGCATGATGATTTCCGTTGATTTCCCGTTTTGTTTCTGGGTGTTTTTGGTTCTCCACATCATCTATCCACACGAACACAGAGACAGCTCACCGATCTGCCTTGGGAAGCCAGAAGAAAAGTGGTTCCAGTCCCCGAAGAAGTAGCGCCAAGGAAACCATGAGACCAATGAGGCGGCGCTGCTTAGCCATCTGGGAAAGGAGCTGGGTTTGGTGTAGCAGCAACTATCACTTCAGCAAGAATGGCTCCGCCATAAGACCGTAGCCATCAAGCTCAAAAGACTCTTAAGACATACCTCATGCAGTGCGTGTGTTGCTTCCTCATTCCGTTGGTCCACAGTAGATCTGTGGCGGACTGCTGTGGCCCAACCCAACACCAAATCAAAACACTGGACAGGATGTACTACTTGAATCCATGATGCACATTCATTGATTCATCTGAATGACATCACTGAAGCAACACGTCGATTGTGTTCAGAGGCATAATGTGTGTGTGTGTGTGCAAACAAGATACCCTCTGGTAATTTAACATAGCTATTGAAAATCACCATTTATAGTGGATTTTCCCATTAAAACTGGTGATTTTCCATAGTTATGTTAAATTACCAGAGGGTACTATGCTTGTACCACGCACCCCTTACCCTGTCTTTTTAATGGCACAGCAGCTGCCGAAGCATCCGCAGATTTGGGTTAGCACTAAGGAGTGGCTGTGGCAGCTTTGGCCAAGTCTCCAGGTGGATCAAACAGCTGTGATCGGCGATGCTTGGGAAACCGGGTCAGCCATGTCAGCAAGGGCAAAACTTTGATTATGGTAATTCGGATTGTTGCTAGATACTTATTATTATTATTATCATTATTATTATTATCATTATTATTGTTATTACAAATGGTATGGTCATTTTTCATATCCAAAACAGTATTGTCATATGTAAGTACCAGATAGTACCAGTATGGTAATTTAGACACTTGATGGCTGCAAGATCTGTAAGGGCATTCGAAGTTCAGGCAACTGGATCCGCAGGAATCTTGCACCATGAATGATCCACGTGAAAAGTATTACCATCTGGTTATGACTAACATAGCCATGGTATAGATGGCCCATAGAAATAGATGGTTGACCTAGCTATAAAATGGTGTGATTTTCCATGGCTATGTTAAATAACCAGAGGGTATTCTATCTGGCATTTGCTTGGATTCATTTAACACGGCACCGTCATGGCGTCATGAAGATCTCTGCATTGTGTGCTCGCTCTCCCTGGTATCGCCTGACACGGGAATGTGTGCAGTGAAACCAGCATCATCAGCATGTGATTCTGGGACCGTTTATTTGTTTTGCCGTTGATATAGTTGGTATATGTTGGTATTGATTCGATCGAAACAATCTGCAATGATGTCCCACAATGGATGCATGTTTTTGAGGCATCAACGCTTTGCCACAGACCACTTCGCTGTGGTCCTGCACACATTCAAGCATTGCAAAAACAGCCGTACACCAAAAAAAAGGGAAATCCTGAAAATTAGGATGTTGCATAACTAGAGTCTGATCAGACTTTTTGATAGAGTCGACTCACAGACTCTGTGAACCCTAAGATACGCTGCAGCTTCCAACCCGCATGGGATCCCCCACTATTCGGCGAGAAGGTGACAAGCTGCGACCTGGCTCAGCTTGCAAATGGAAGGACCTGCTTCAAACATCGCCAGTTCAACCTCTTGGTAAAAATAATGCTTTGACTTCTGAACGCACAACATCAACTTGACAGCAGGCTTTGCCCTACAAAGGTAGACTAAGGTGGACCCAAAGTTCGGTCATCTGTTCGGAGCTCAGGGGATTCCCCACAAGTTGTACCCGCCTGGTGCTGCTATCAACTCAGATCTGGTGCTGAGCAAGGCAATGGGTGCTGGTGGTGCCTCAACTGGTGAGGCAGTGCTTTGTCCATCCTTCCCACCACCGTTTACACTGAGGGAAGCAGGACGGCCATGGTCCCTGTGTGCTACTCATTGCAGTATCATTGTAGTATCATGTACTAGTTGCTAGAACTCTGAAGGGCCCAAGTGTGGTAGTGACTTGAAGGCAAGATGTGCAGAATTGACCTCTTGAAATTCTAATTCCTCCAGCTCCCAAAGCTGCCTGTCTCACTGTGCTTGGATACCTCGGGAGTGAGGCACTTTGATATTCCTTGAGAGTCTTCTTCCCTCGTTTGTCACATGCTTTCTTGGTGAACAGAGGAGACCTCTCTCCAGCTGCCTGCCCTAAAACTTTTTCGGTGGTGCTTGATATAAGGCTAGTGCTCAGGACATTGTGGCAGTGCGAAACCGCGAAACCTTTGAGTCATATGGCGCTCCCAAATGCAAAACCCTTTTCTGGTTGGTGGTTGGGATTATTATTCCCAATATATGGAAAAATAAAATTCATGTTCCAAACCACCAACCAGATTTTAGGCAAAATCACCAGGAAAAAACATGTCGATCCTGGCTTGTTCTGAGCACCAAACACAATCCTGGCCTGTGAGGCAGGGAGAACCTGTCAACTGGAGGACTTCTGGATGTGGATCGAGGAAAGGTTGGGAATCCCTATAAGATCTATAAGGTCTCCAATTGATGGCATGCTGGAGGCTATTGGAGGGTCAATGCAAACTTCATTCAGGGGATCCGAGGATGAATGAGTCCAGTGCATACTATGAATGAGTAGTAGCTCAAGTACACAAGTGATGCCATGTTTGAGGAGCAAGTTGCCGACCAAGATATCATGCTTCTCATAAGAATAGAGACATACTAGAGACATACCCTCGTCAAACATGCTGCTGGCTGAAAAGGCAACTGGAACAATCCTACGAACCTGTTTCCAACTCAAAAGAATCGCCGGCTCCGAACTGGGGACCACGCCGCTGCCGGGCGGTAGGTAACAACGTTGGGTGAGTTCCCTCCTCCTGCTCCGGACCTGACATCAAGCTTGCAGGATATGCAGGGGCACCAGCACTGGCATAATCTGACCTGCATGTACATCTCACATCATCTCCCGACTTTTCATTCTCTTGGATTCTTGGTGGCTCCAAAGGTCCATGCACGACTTGGTCAGAGGTTGCTAGGACGACACCAATGACCCTCCGCTTTTGGTGAAAGGCTGCCTGTAAATTCCCGTGTCAATGCCAGTTATATAATTGTTCCGCGTTTTGATTCTAGAAATCTATGACATGTGTTTTTCTTGCAATTGGATCTGCCAGATTTGTTCTTCAAAAGTTCTGGTTCAGTTTGGCTTGAAAAATGGTAAATTACAGGACCTGGTAATTTCCTCTGGTTTTTTTAAAGGAAATGTTCTGCACCCCGAGCCTCACAGAAGGGCTGACCACGCCAGGCAAAGAAGGTGAAGAGCGTGCGACAACGCGTGGCCTGCCCAGCAAGCAGTTGGCTTTTTCACAAGATATCTTGTATTATATCATATCATATACATATATAATTATGTATATATATATATATACACGTATATTCTAAAGTTATATTGTATTATGATATTATGTATGTGTATATATATATACATACATATACTATTTATACGCCGTATATATAATATGTAATATATATATATATTGTGATTCTCCCATTTAAGCTACCTCAGGTCGCTTGTCTTCGATTGGTCAAACCTGCCTTCCGATAGGCACTGGCTCAGGAGAGTTTGGATGCTGGGCGGGAGGGCTAATTAGCCTTGGAGCCATAGGTTGTGACAGGCGTCACCCGTGTTTTTCTTAGCTTGTGGACGTGGCAGTTCGAACCTTTGGAACGCTGTGGTCAGCTTGGGTGAAAACAGAAAGAGAGCGAGTACCTGTGGACAGGGAATTGGGTGCTACCAATGTTTCCGGAGGTTGGTAACCCATTACAGTTTTGGTGCAATTAATTCAAGGACTTCATCATCAACAGTTGTTGCTTGAGATACTGGTTGCTGCCATTCATACTGGTAGCGGAGCTCCAGTTCGGAGCATCCAGGAGAAATGCCTACAACAGCAGCTGAATCGAGTGAAGCCCAATCGACCAATGGCGTGAGCAACCAGCTGTCGTCCTTGGTACCGACGTTTGACCCAGGAGTTGATGACCTTTTGGTATATCAACAGAAGGTGGAGCTTGTCTATGCAGCCTGGCCGAAAGGCCGTGTGACAGAACTTGTCACCAGACTGATCTTAGGATGCAAAGGATCAGCCTTTGCCAAACTACAGCTTCATCAAGGTGAGCTACTGGATGGTACGGAGAAGTCAGTTCACCGTGTGGTGGAGTTACTAGGAGGCCAATGGGGCAAGATTCCACTGGAGCAACAATACCAAGATGCGGAGAAGGCTTTGTTCGAGACGTCACAAAAGACTGATGAAACCAATGACTCCTATTTGGCCAGGTCAGACGTGATGTGGTCCCGACTGCTAGCGCGAAAAATGAGTCTGGAAGATTTGCAGGCATACATCATGTTGAGAGGTTCACTGTTGACTAGCGATGAAAAGAAGAAGGTGATCTTGGATTCAGAAGTTGATGGTAAACTCACTGTGAAACGTGTGACACATGCAATCAGGACTTTGGGTGCTAGTTTTTTCATGGACATGACCAATCAGAAGAAGGTCAATCGCACGAAGATCTATGATCAAACCGCCTTGCACACTGAAACGGCAGGTGACACCGATGAGATCGAGCCAATTTGCAATTCTCAGGATGAACTCACTGAGGAAGAATTCATCGAACAACTGATGGAACAGGGTGACTCTGACGCACTTCTGGTCGGAGATTTTGAGTTGGCAGCCCAAGACACGATTCAGGAAGATCAGAGTCTTGCCATAGCCCTGACATCATACCAGCAGGCTCGTCATCGACTGTCCGAGAGATTTCGCAACCGTGGTTTCTTTCCAAGCAAGCCATTTCCAGGAGGTGCCAAAGGGAAGTTTTCAAGTGGAAAAGGATTCAACAAAGGCAAGGGTCTTTCGAACTGGAACAGCCGTCCCAAAAAGACCCTTCAAGAACGCATCATGCAGAGCACATGCCGTCTATGCGGACAGCGTGGTCACTGGAAAGCTGAGTGCCCGCAGAGGGGTCAAAGCCAGTCAAGTGCGGCGTCTTCCACAACCGGTGGAAGCATGGCACCCACCACGACAGTGATTTCACATGATGCCACCATGGATAGCCTGCCACTGGAATTTCTAAGCCTGCCTGAAGAGTTTGCTGAGACTCTCGATGCCGATCAGGAGAACACGACCAAACCAAGCCCATGTTTTGCCAGCTGTGTAACCCAGGGTAATCATAGACACCGGTATGTAGGGAGGATTTTGGGTAAATCTGTTGAATGCCATAGGTCTATGTATAGTGGGATAGAACATGGTTGTGCACATGACCGCCTCCGTCAACACCTCAGGAGTGATGGAGCCAAAAGTGAACATGCCAAGAGCTGTCACCAGGACAGCCGCCCTGAACCAAAGTGCCTGAAGTCGCATTTTGCGACACAACATGCCAGATCGCATTTTGCGACCGATGTCAAAAGAACATCCAATGCCAAGGATCCTGGTCCGACACATGTCAATCACTCCGATGACTCTCAGTGCATTTTGTTTGCAACTCATGGAACCTGGGGGGTGCTTGATTTGGGTGCGTCGAAGACCGTGATAGGATCCAACCATGTTGCAGAGTTGATTGATGGACTAAGTGATGAAGTCAAGAAACAGGTAACCAGAGTAAAATGCCAGGTAACCTTTAAGTTTGGGAATGAGGGAACCCTCCAAAGTGAACATGCACTGGTGATACCAATTGGACCATTAAAACTGAAAGTAGCCGTGGTACCAGGTGGGACACCCTTTTTGGTTTCTGTAACTCTCATGCGAGCTCTCCGAGCCATCATCAACTGCCAAGCCAAGACCGTCAGCAGTCATATGTTTAAGCACGACATTCCACTTGAACTCACGCCCCGTGGTCTGTTTCTCATTGACATTAATGCTGTCGCGTTGGCTGCCAGACAAATGTCAGGACAACCTGTTCTGAATTCTGCCAGGAAGACCGAGACTTTTGCCACCGTGGAGAATAAAGACCAGCCAGTCATGCAGAATCAGCCAGGTGTTTCTGATCAGAAAGCCGATACCCTCACATGTCAGCAACCACAGCCAAATGATTTAACCAGTTTTCATGCCAAACCGTCAGATGCAAATGTCTCAAGCAATTTGGAATCACAAACTCCAGCAGGAAACCCAGAGTGTGAGCCAGTTGAAACTATCAAGACAGCAGAAGCGGCCACCAGTGATCAAGTTGCGACCAAGTCAGTATCGTTCAGTTCAGAGATCGCTGCATCAACCCATGTCGCTGAACCAGCGCCTGAAGCAGCTGCAGCAGCCAGTGGAAGATGCAGAGTTGCCGGACCTGTCCCATTACCGACTGGAGGACCTTCATCACCAGAAGGTGGATTTCGGCAACAAACACCGCGGAGAGAAGTTCGAAGTTGCATGGAAGGACCAATCGTGGGTGAGTTTCATCGCAACTCACTATGCCCAAAGCCGCTGCATGTCCCATCGGTTGGTCATTCGGTACATCGAACTGATGATCGAGAAACACGAGATGAGCGGTGCACCAATCAAGATGATGCCCGACAATCTGAGCGAGGTGAATTCACTGAACCAAAGGCCAGTGGTTCCACGACCTGTCATGAAAGCCAAGGCCAAGCCAATGGCTCTCAACCGATCCCAGATGTGCCCAGCCGACATCACTCATTTGCCCGACATGGAAGAAGCCGATTGGGAGTTGAGTTCTCAGACATACCAGCCTGGGTATATGGAAAGCCCCCCACTGACACAGGATCCCAACTTCCTAGCCATGCAGACCAGACTTCTTCACATGGAGAATGCATTGGGCCGAGTGATTCAGCATCTCGAAGGTCAGGTTGTGGCCACGAATCCCGAATGCCAGGAGGATTCGAACACGGACTAGTCAGTTGCGATGATGTGTCAGAACCAGGGTCACAGGTTCATCCTGAAATCCAGCATTTGTGGAAACAAGTTGAGTTGATTCAAAAGGAGCTGGAACTTGCCGTGAAACACCACCGACAAGTTGGCCGTCCATTTTCCTTAGCTGAAGTTTTTTGCAGTAATCAATCACCCCTGACACATCAGGTATTGCAACAAGGCCAGTCTGCATTCCGCCATGGCATCGAGCAGGGCGATCTCTCGACAGTTGAGGGCAGAGCCAAGTTGTTTCAAAAGGTGATTGTTCACCAACCAAAGAATGTATGGTTTTCCCCTGTTTGTGGACCCTGGTCATCATGGTCGCGATTCAATGAATCCCGAAGTAGCCAAAGTCAACAAGAATATCTTGAGAAGCGCATGGACATGCTGTATCAAGTTGCTTTGGGATTAGTACTATATCGTTTTCAGATTCAACATGGTCGCCATTTCCATTGGGAACAACCATCCAAATCATTGATGTTTTCTCAACCTGGGATTTCAGAGATCCACCAGTTTACGCAAGCCTGCCAATTCGACCTGTGTGAAGTTGGTGCCTTGGTAGATCCCAGCAACGGAAAGCCCATCAAAAAGGGAATGACTATACTGACCACCAGCCCGACTCTGTATCAAGCATTGCATGGCCGAAAATGCCGCCAAAATCATGAACACCAGCCAATTGAGGGTAGTCTCAAAGTCAATGACCATCGCATGCGAAGATCTACATACACCGAAGTTTATCCAAGAAAGTTTGCACGTTTGATTGCCAAAATAATCACTGCCAATTCCCGAGAGTGGCCTTTTCGCTGGAGTCATGGCATGATCGCCTTGACATGCTGCGATGTTGCCGAGTCAGTTTTGGTTGCCCGAAGTAGTCCCCATGCCGCCGCGCAGAAGGGGCGGAATAACTTCCCGAAGTCAGAGCTGATCCAACCAGCAAGCCGAGCTGAGCAGGTAACGAAGCGCCGTCGACTTGAGGGTAAGCAACATGTAGGTCCATGTTTGGAAGACTGTCAAGAAATACTGAATAGAATCAGCAAACAGACTCCTCGAGTTGGCAAAGTTGAGATCACTGATGATGATGTTCTTCAACCGTTGAAGCAAATGTTTAATGACAAAATTATTATTAGTGTCATCTCATGTCGCGGTACGGACCGAACCATACCACCGTCAGCACATGTTCATGCAGAAGAAGCATCCTTTCGAAAAACATTGATGATCCTGAGACCATCCGGGCAGGTAGCATATGAGGAAAATTGGGAAAAATGGAATCAGTTGTCCCACCGTCAACTGATTAGACCTGCACATGCCTGTAAGTTGAATATCACGATGTTTGCTCACGAAAGACCTATTCAGCCAAGAACAATCGATGGTGTCCAGTCCGAACCTGCATCAGCCAGTAGTTCACAAAGTCATGTACAGCCTGACATGAGTCAATCCGTGCACCACGGTACAGAGCTGGAACCACACACTGATGAAACTCAGCCGGCCGATGACCGAGAGACAGGTGATTCCCAGGAAATTCCCGAGACTGGTCCAGTGCCTTCACAAACCATGCGATTTAGATCCCTACCAAAGTGGGAGCAGAACCAACTGACTCTTATGCACAGGAATCTAGGCCATCCCAGCAATGAAAGACTAGCCAAAGCGTTGCAATCAACTGGTCATCGTCCCGAAGTGGTGAATGCTGCTCGAGAGCTCAGGTGTAAAGTATGTGCACAACAATCACCACCCAAGCATCAGCGGCCCGGTCATCTGAAGGCCATGATGGACTTTAACCATAAAGTATATATGGATGGCATTTCCTGGACCAACCATGCCGGAAAATCCTTTCACTTCTATCACTTGTTGGATGCCGGAACCAATTTTCACATGGCCATCATAGCTCCTTCACGTTTGACAGCGGACGCCATCAGCATCATCAGCCAACACTGGGTTTCATGGGCCGGGGCACCAAGTAATCTCATTGTAGATGCAGCCACCGAATTCAATAATGAGGAGTTCAATGGGTTCACTCAACGATTCAATATCCAATGTTCCTCAATCAGCCCAGAAGCACACTGGCAGATGGGAAAAATTGAACGTCATGGCAAGTTTCTCCAGGAGATGTTGGATAAGATTGATGCCGAGCAACCCATTGGTAGCTATCAGGATTTGCAATTGGCCCTCAACCAATCCACACAGGCGAAAAACATGCTCAGTGTCAGACATGGTTACTCACCAGAAATAATTGTTTTTGGCAAACAAAGTAGACTTCCTGGATCTATATTAAGTGATGAGTCCATTCCAAGTCATTTGAGTGCCTTGCAAGAACTTGAAACCATGTCACAGGATGACTTTCGACAGCAGTTGCAGATGCGCGAGATGGCTCGGAAGGCCTATCATGTGGCTGACAACAGCGACAACCTCAGGAGAGCAATTCTGAGGCGATCATGTCCCGACCGGGGTCAGTATCAGCAAGGGCAATGGGTAATGATTTGGCGAACCCAAGGTATCAAGAATCCAGGTTGGATAGGACCCCAAAGAGTAATCATTCAGGACTCCAACCATACTGTATGGTCAACACAAGGAGGTAAGTTATACCGAAGTGCCCCAGAACATGTACGCAGGTCCCTGCCAGATGAAGGTCAGCCTGATGGACCAGAACTTCCAACAGACTTAACTTCCCTGCAGCAACAAATCAACCGAATGAGCCAATTGCCCAGCATTGCTGAAGATGAGCCCATCAGCATAGATCAGATAGCCGCGAGTCCTGAACATGCCGATGACGCACCTCAAGAGAGAGTGCGATTGGAAAGCTCAGCCGAATCGATCCCACAACCGGATCAAGAGCCAGATGCTGTCAGTCAACAGTCATCTCAACCACTCCCCGATACATCCGATTCTGAGACACAAGAGATCCAGCAGCTGTTGTTGTGTGAAGAAAGTTCCGCTTTTGATGACCTCAATCATGATGTTGTTTTTCGTTGTGAATTTGAAGTGCCAACCCAGAATGAAGAAGAATGGCCTGACAGTGATCCTTGGATCTTGCTCACGACCGGTGCAGCCAAGCAACGCACCGAAGTTCAGTTGTCAGAGCTATCTCCACAAGAACGCAGTGCATTTGAGGATGCCAAGCAAGCCGAAATCAACAACTGGTTACATACACAGACCGTTTCCAAGGTTCTCCGTGATCAAATACCAGCTGAACAAATCATGAAATGTCGCTGGATTCTCACATGGAAACCATTAGATGGGGTAAACCAAGATGAAATCGAATATAAATCCCTAAGGTCGCATAAACCAAAGGCCAGACTCGTTGTTCTAGGCTATCAAGATCCTCAGATCGAAGAAATTCCCCGAGACAGTCCAACTTTGAGTAAGACTGCAAGAATGCTCATCCTTCAGACCATTGCCACTCATTCATGGCAGTTGTTATCTTTTGATATAAAGGCCGCATTCTTACAGGGTAAACCCCAAGAAGGAAGAATCATGGGACTTGAACCAGTAAAGGAACTCCGCAAAGCTCTCAGCCTGTCAGATCATGAGATTGTCAAACTGAATAAAAGTGCGTATGGCCTAGTGGATGCACCCTTTTTGTGGTACTGCACACTCACCTCGGAGCTCACGGCTCTTGGGATGGAAGTCAGTCCTTTTGACCCATGTACATTTGTCCTTCGATGCAAAGAAGACCCATCACAGATTGCCGGTATTTTGGGAATTCACGTGGACGATGGGATTGGGGGTGGAAATCAGCAGTTTCATGATGTAATCAGCCAGCTAGAGAAGAAATACCCCTTTGGCGCAAAGAAGGTTAGTTCATTCACCTTTACGGGAATTGATTTAACCCAAAAAGAAGACAACAGCATCAACATGAGTCAGAGTACATATGTCCGAAAGATCAAGCACATCCCAATTGAACCCAATCGCAAAACACAGATGGAGCTGGAGATCACAGAAGCCGAACGCGGTCTTTTGCGCGGTCTTGTAGGATCACTACAGTATGCAGCAGTCAACACACGTCCTGACCTAGCAAATAGACTATCCCAACTTCAATCATCCATCAATAAAGCCAAAATTGAAGATCTCCTAGAAGCCAACAAACTTCTCCATGAAGCCAAAAAGTATCATGACGTCACGATAACCATTAAACCGATTCCCTATAAAGATTTCCGCTTCATGGCATTCTCTGACGCTTCATTCGCTTCACATCGTAAACCTGATTCCCATGCTGGTATGATTATTGTAGGCACCCATCAACAGATCAATAATAATGTGCAGTGCCCCATAAGCCCAATCTCCTGGGGATCAAAGAAAATTCAAAAAGTAGTCACTAGCACACTTTCAGCAGAGACAACATCCCTTGCAGCAGCAATCGACCAGCTGGCATGGCTCAGACTTTTTTGGTCATGGATTCATGATTCAAAGGTCCAATGGAAAAATCCCCAAAAGGCCCTCCAAAAGTTAGAACCAGCCATTTCAGTGCCCACTTTCAATGAAACTAATGATGTAGCTATCACTGACTGTAAAAGTCTCTATGATTTAATTACCCGTACGGCTCCACCATCATGTTCAGAATTTCGGGTTCAGTTGGTAGCTAGGGCAATAAAAGAAGCACTCCGAGAAGGCATTAGCGTACGATGGGTACACACTGGTGCCCAGCTAGCAGACTGCTTGACAAAAGCAATGCAGTGCCAGTTTCTCAGAGAGACCTTGCGCTTGGGATCCTATCGGCTGCATGACGAAGCCTCAACGTTGAAAGATAGAGCTCAAACCCGAGACAGGATCCGATGGCTACAACAACCATCAATTGGAGAATGAAAACGAAAAATCAGGTTTGACCAAAAGAAAGATTTTTGACGGATGTGATTCTCCCATTTAAGCTACCTCAGGTCGCTTGTCTTCGATTGGTCAAACCTGCCTTCCGATAGGCACTGGCTCAGGAGAGTTTGGATGCTGGGCGGGAGGGCTAATTAGCCTTGGAGCCATAGGTTGTGACAGGCGTCACCCGTGTTTTTCTTAGCTTGTGGACGTGGCAGTTCGAACCTTTGGAACGCTGTGGTCAGCTTGGGTGAAAACAGAAAGAGAGCGAGTACCTGTGGACAGGGAATTGGGTGCTACCAATGTTTCCGGAGGTTGGTAACCCATTACAGTTTTGGTGCAATTAATTCAAGGACTTCATCATCAACAGTTGTTGCTTGAGATACTGGTTGCTGCCATTCATAATATATATATATATATATGTGCAAATTTATGCAATATGTTGCAATCGTCTGATGGGGACGAAGCTATGCTGATCCGCTCAAAGCAAGCCTTTGTAACCTTTGTAAGCACAAGATAGCACAAGCATATTCTGACGTATCTGGCAACTGTGTGGACGTTATCCACAGAGGATGACATGGACTGCAGTTCTGTTGTTCGCCAGCTGGGTTGCGTACCTCAACCGAGTCTCGCCCTGCAGCAACGCTGCACAAACGAATGGCATTGCTGACTACTTGAAATACAGAAGAGAAGAGAAGACATGTCCTGCTGCTTCGAGAACTGTTTCTGTTCTGTCAAAGTTTCGACGTGAACTCTGAGCAAATACCGTCAAATGCTGCTTGTTTACTTCCTGACCACCTCAATATCACCTCAAAATTGTATACCCTCTGGTAATGACTAACATAGCTATTGAAAATGACCATAGAAATAGTGGATTTTCCCATTAATAGCATGGTGGATCTTTCCATAGTTACGTAAACGTTTACCAGAGGGTATCTCCAAAATGTTGCCGATTTCGCTCGGTCCCTCTCCTCCAGATCCTCGGTGTCAGAGCCTATTGCCTGAGTGGATCACCGTTTGCTGCTTCAGCTCCCTGTGTATCCGTACAGTGCTACAGCACCGGTCACCCCATCCCGGGCGCCTTGACTTTGGAACTGAGGTCGTGCGTATGTCCATCAATGGCCTCCTTGGAACTGCAGCACGCCAGCTGCACTCCAGCTGCAGCGGCTAGTGGCTTACCTAGTGGCAATCCTCTAACCGGAGACATGTTCCAAATGTGAAAACTGTGAAAACGCAAAAAAAAAAAAACCGGCCTTCTCTGACTTCTGGCCGACAGCCAAAAAAAAATCCAAGCGTGGGGCCCAGATGTGTTTCATCTCCAATTTCCGCTCTTCCATGTCCTGGGCAGAAAGGACACATCCCAGAAAAAGAAATCATGCGATGAACTCGTTCCAGCATGATGCAACCCCTAAAATCTCTTGGTTTCCATAAGTTGTAGCTTTATTTGAAATGTGAAAACACAAAAAAAGCCATGGATAGAAGGAATCGCAGTCATCCCTTCCTCGCCTTTCGGATCAGTGCATCGAAAATTGCAACCTGGACAGAGGGCCCATGAAAAAAGAGGCTGTTCCTCGGCAGGGGAAAAAAAGGTTCTATATATCTGTTGCTATTCCATCAGTGTCATGTCTGAAAATGTCTGAAATGCAGAGATAATGGTTTTCAAGAAAAGACCACAAACATGTATCCAAAACTGAATTTCAATTCTCAATGCGCTTCACACTCTTACCAGCCACCAAAACTTTCAGCATCCCATGCTCAAAGGCGCACCGTTCTTTGCAAAGAATCCACCTAAGGCAGCAAAAATCACACTTACGGTGAGCGTATCTTCAGAACTTCAGAGTCTTTGCGTTTACGTTCAACTTGTTTGCCTCCCATCCGTTTCAAACGCCCCCGTTTTTTTAAGCCAAATACGAGACTCTTGTCGATAGCCGATTCGGCAGCGATCTTTAATTTCATACTTTGGTGATTGCTCCGGAAACAAGAGGTCTACCGGTCTACTTGTTAAGTAATTACCAAGTTGTTTCCATGTTTCTTAGAGAAAAAGGTCCATTATGTCCTATTCATTTCCCAGCCCACCAGTGCAAAGTGTTGCCGTGCCATTGTATTTGTAAACGGAAAGGCCAGAGCGGAAGACAGGAATGTTCAGGAGATCCAGACAACCATCTCCTACTAACAGGATCAAAACGAAAGCTTTTAAATTGCCAAACAAAGTCTGGAGAAAAGACTTTCTCAAAACCAACCCAAGAGAAGCATAATTAAAGAGAAAAAACACGACTCAACGAAGACAGGGTTGCTTGGATGGATACACTTCAAAACCTGTCGTTTATATAATTATTAAACATTATTAAACATTATTAAACTATATCGTCCTGCTACCTGCTTCTGTTCTCAGTTCTTGGTTTCCGAACGAGTTCAGACTGTGTCTCATGGTGCTTGAGCCGCTCCTGCGTCTCACGCCTGAGCAACTCCTGAGCAAACCACGCAACTGGCCCATACAGCTTGCTGCCTTTTTTCAAAGCGAGCTGCTAGCAGATGATGATCTATGAATCAATTTTTGGACAAAGACTTCACTCATCAGAGGAGGCCCTGCATGTGGCAGCCAAGGTGAAATTCGCTTAGGTCCAGCAGAAAAGCTGTCCTCAACTTGCAGTCGCGCCGCTTCTTCCTCTGGAGCGATCGCTTTAACGACACTTGCATGACCATGTCCACCGTTCATAGGGTGTACATCCATAAACTCAGTTTGCGACTCGTAGAGGAGCACTTGTTTACAGCACCTAGATCCTACAAACTGACCCTCCCCAAACTCTTGCAACCCAAGGCAAGTTTCTACAAAAGAGCTTATCTTAGAGATCAAAGTCACCCATAATTGTACTGTGAATGGTGTACAATACTTGCACCATCATTCATTGTCCCCAACAACAATTTCTGCGTCAGTCGCGAACTTTGGTTTCAGACTTGGTTTTGGCCCTGTCCTGTGCATGCTTGTGGACGGAAGCACCAAGCATCTGCAGCCAGGAACAGTGTCAATTCGTCAACCCGTTCGTGCATCCACCAGTGTTAGTGCTTGACCCGCAAACACTGCGAATTGTTGCATTGTAGCCCGAAGCAAGGCAGAGCTTTGATTATCACGCGGAAATGCAGAGTGTGTTGCCTTATTCTTGTTGATCAATTGAACTCTCATCTCTTCGCGACATCCCAATGCCGGACAAGAAGAAAAACAAGGCTATGTCCAATAGAACAAAAAACTCTGGAGGCTAAGCCTTCATTCACGCGCACTAGGATCACTAGGCGTGTGTCTCTGTGAGGGGCACGTCTCGCTACAAGACCCTCCAACTTGGTACGGGTTTTTTATGATCTATGACACAGAATGACACAGATTGATACAATGTCTCTCAACCCGGAGAGGTCATGAGTCCGCCCTTTGGCCTTCTCCAGCCGGTCATGTTTTTCACTCAAAGCCTGGATTTTTTCAGTGAATCCCATGTGGGGCTTTATTAATGCTGCTGGACCGCTGGATGGAAAGCAGTTTCACAACTTTTCCGGACCATGCCCATCGAGACCATGTCGACCATGTCATGCTGAAACTGTGTTCCATGGCTGCCATGCGTGATTCTGATCCAAAATGAACTCAGGGTCTCTGCTGGAAGACCAAAAACTGGATACCAAGAGTCCACTGAAAAGAACTGAAAAGAACGCAAGATGCGATTCTTGGGCGACTGGCCAAAGCCGGTTTGGTCTGCTCTTGAGCAATGACAAGAAACAACAACAAACAACAACAAATGAACTGCTGCGGAGACACTGTCAGCCCTTTGCTATGCTCCTCAAATTGCAAGTGCTTGAAGGCCAAGAGGTGTGAGGTTCCCTTTATACAGAGACTTCTCAATGCCACATCAGTGTTGTTTCCACATGGCCCTGTTGGTGGAGAAGCTATGATGAGAGGTACCACTCGAGACTTTCAAGCAGATTCCAGCAAGGTTGATTCTGAAGCAAGCAGAGAGTCATGTACATGTATAACAACATGTTTCAGTGAATAATTTCTGTTGTGGAGGTCATTTTTGACCTTCACACCCGAAAAAAAACCATCCCAAGACCTCCCCTCCTCCAAAGCCTTTTTGTGCTCCTTGGACCCAACTCTCCATCTGTCAAACAACCAAACTCAGCAGCTTCGAATGGTAAAATTATGTATTTATGTCTCTTGATTGTCCTCAAACCATCTCAAACCAACCCAAGGGAATTTTCGGGAATGATCCACTGGCTAACTATTTTCATAATCATCCCAGCAACCCCCAGCAACCCATCCATTATCTGCGTTTAGCAACGCACCAGTAAGATGAAACCAGATTTTGAAACGATGAGTTTTTGTCCCAGTTGCGGCACTGTCTCGGAGCAGCGATTCCAAGAACTTCAGGCGCTCCTCCCATTGGTCACTTTTGTGAAGTCGGCAGTCTCACCCTGAAAAAAAATATCGGCAGATATCGGATATAGGCATCCTGATATCCGCCGACCCCGGCAGACGCAAGGGGACCCCGGCAGACGCAAGGGGGAGCGCGCCAGGGAATAAGACATTGCGACTACTACTATACTACTGCAGCTACAGTAGATAGAAACAGCAGCAGCAGCAGCAGCAGCACAACCACAACAACAACAACGACAACAACAACAACAACAAGAACAACAACAACAACAACAACAAGAACAAGAACAAGAACAACAACAACAACAATGACCCTTTGCCGGGGGACCCTGTTGGGTCCCCCTCCCACCGGTCACGTACGTCGATTCATTGACTCCGGGGTTTTTGTTTTACCGGTGGGGGGTCCTTCCCGGAGTCTCCTCGAGGTACGTGGGGCTCCTTGGGTTGCCCTTCCCGCTCTGATTTGTTCGTTCGAGGCCGCATCCTCGAGGTTCTATGTCTCATTGTACAAACAGTGGTATCCGCCGACCCCGGCAGACGCAAGGGGGAGTGCGTAAGGGAAAAAGAGTTTATGACACAGCTGCCAGGAAAGAATAATAATAATTCGCTGACCCCGGCCGATGCAAGGGGGAGCGACAACAACAACCATGTGCCACCTCTGCTGTGCTCTCGATAGTCCATAAGCTTCAGGGTTAGGCTGCAATTTTCTTAGATCAAGTCGTGTCTTTGGTACCGGAGCATACTACTTGCCAACATTTTGTTCCACATCTTTTCCCGTTTCGTTTTTTGTGCGCTACCCGTATGCGGCCAAAGCGTTTCGTGCTTTGCACTTCTGTTAAACATGCTGGACACTGATGTGTGAAAAAGCTCTGAATCACTGTGCCACCGCGAACACGGAAGCGGACACCACAATGCTGTTGTTTCGCATCAACTTGTCCATCAGTGACAGTACTACGGACCTGTGTCTCACAATGAGGACATATATATTCATAGACCGGCTTTCTCTGCGAGATAGTGGGCCCTGCTGTATTTTCAACGCATTTTTCAACAGGAATCGTGGTGCGACTACGTTTCCGAGCCATTGCTTCCCATGTCTCCTGGATAATTTGCCTGTGGCGCAATCTTTTCCGGAGAGGTTCGAGGCGAGCTGCACTGGAAGCAGCTGCGCGCTTGCGGACTGCACGCTGCACCTTCGCAGCGTGGCATGTGTTGCATGTCTGCGTTCCATCCTCCTTTCTAGAGGGCCGCCGGGAAATAAAGCTAGAAAAGTGGTGCCGCGACTAGGATTTCAGACGACACGTTAGGGAGTTTTTTGGCGTGGTTCTGGACCTTGCTCGTCCTTCAGAGCGATGGTGTTTTGCTGCCGGGAGCTGCTTTTTTCGAAGCTGTTTTACCGGCATCAGCAGCAGCAGCCGCCGCCACCAGTTCTGCGAGCAGCCGCAGGCAACAGAATCTGTCGACAAATGCTGTTTTTCTAGATTTCCAGACGACACGTTAGGGAGTTTTTTCGCGTGGTTTTGGACCTTGCTCGTCCTTCCGAGCCATGGTGTTTTGCTGCCGGGAGCTGCTTTTTTCGAAGCTGTTTTACCGGCATCAGCAGCAGCAGCCGCCGCCACCAGTTCTGCGAGCAGCCGCAGGCAACAGAATCTGTCGACAAATGCTGTTTTTCTAGATTTCCAGACGACACATTAGGGAGTTTTTTCGCGTGGTTTTGGACCTTGCTCGTCCTTCCGAGCCATGGTGTTTTGCTGCCGGGAGCTGCTTTTTTCGAAGCTGTTTTACCGGCATCAGCAGCAGCAGCCGCCGCCACCAGTTCTGCGAGCAGCCGCAGGCAACGCAGGCAACAGAATCTTTCGACCTTGCTCGTCCTTCAGAGCCATGGTGTTTTGCTGCCGGGGCTGCTTTTTTCGAAGCTGTTTTACCGGCATCAGCAGCAGCAGCCGCAGGCAACAGAATCTCTCGACAAATGCTGTTTTTCTAGATTTTTCTAGATTTCCAGACGACACGTTAGGGAGTTTTTTCGCGTGGTTTTGGACCTTGCTCGTCCTTCCGAGCCATGGCGTTTTGCTGCCGGGAGCTGCTTTTTTCGAAGCTGTTTTACCGGCATCAGCAGCAGCAGCCGCCGCCACCAGTTCTGCGAGCAGCCGCAGGTAACAGAATCTTTCGACCTTGCTCGTCCTTCAGAGCTATGGTGTTTTGCTGCCGGGGGCTGCTTTTTTCGAAGCTGTTTTACCGGCATCAGCAGCAGCAACCGCCGCCACCAGTCCTGCGAGCAGCCGCAGGCAACAGAATCTCTTGACAATCTCTCGACAATGTGCTGTTTTTCTAGGATTTCAGACGACACGTTAGGGAGTTTTTTGGCGTGGTTCTGGACCTTGCTCGTCCTTCAGAGCCATGGTGTTTTGCTGCCGGGAGCTGCTTTTTTCGAAGCTGTTTTACCGGCATCAGCAGCAGCAGCCGCCGCCACCAGTTCTGCGAGCAGCCGCAGGCAACAGAATCTGTCGACAAATGCTGTTTTTCTAGATTTCCAGACGACACGTTAGGGAGTTTTTTCGCGTGGTTTTGGACCTTGCTCGTCCTTCCGAGCCATGGTGTTTTGCTGCCGGGAGCTGCTTTTTTCGAAGCTGTTTTACCGGCATCAGCAGCAGCAGCCGCCGCCACCAGTTCTGCGAGCAGCCGCAGGCAACAGAACAGAATCTTTCGACCTTGCTCGTCCTTCAGAGCCATGGTGTTTTGCTGCCGGGGGCTGCTTTTTTCGAAGCTGTTTTACCGGCATCAGCAGCAGCAGCCGCAGGCAACAGAATCTCTCGACAAATGCTGTTTTTCTAGATTTTTCTAGATTTCCAGACGACACGTTAGGGAGTTTTTTCGCGTGGTTTTGGACCTTGCTCGTCCTTCCGAGCCATGGTGTTTTGCTGCCGGGAGCTGCTTTTTTCGAAGCTGTTTTACCGGCATCAGCAGCAGCAGCCGCCGCCACCAGTTCTGCGAGCAGCCGCAGGTAACAGAATCTTTCGACCTTGCTCGTCCTTCAGAGCTATGGTGTTTTGCTGCCGGGGGCTGCTTTTTTCGAAGCTGTTTTACCGGCATCAGCAGCAGCAACCGTCGCCACCAGTCCTGCGAGCAGCCGCAGGCAACAGAATCTCTTGACAATCTCTCGACAATGTGCTGTTTTTCTAGGATTTCAGACGACACGTTAGGGAGTTTTTTGGCGTGGTTCTGGACCTTGCTCGTCCTTCAGAGCCATGGTGTTTTGCTGCCGGGAGCTGCTTTTTTCGAAGCTGTTTTACCGGCATCAGCAGCAGCAGCCGCCGCCACCAGTTCTGCGAGCAGCCGCAGGCAACAGAATCTGTCGACAAATGCTGTTTTTCTAGATTTCCAGACGACACGTTAGGGAGTTTTTTGGCGTGGTTCTGGACCTTGCTCGTCCTTCAGAGCCATGGTGTTTTGCTGCCGGGAGCTGCTTTTTTCGAAGCTGGTTTACTGGCATCAGCAGCAGCAGCCGCCGCCACCAGTCGTGCGAGCAGCCGTAGGCGACAGAATCTCTCGACAATCGACAAATGCTGTTTTTCTATGCTGTTTCTATGCTGTTTTTTTGCTGTTTTTCTAGCACATTTTTTCTAGCATTTCAGACGACACGTTTGGGAGGTTTTTTGGCGTGGTTCTGGAACTTGCTCGTCCTTCGGAGCCATGGTGTTTTGCTGCCGGGAGCTGCTTTTTTCGAAGCTATTGTACCGGCATCAGCAGCAGCAGCCGCCACCTGCGAGCAGCTGCAGGCGACAGACTCTCTCGAAAAAAGCTGTTTTTCCAGGATTTCAAACGACATCAGCAGCAGCAGCCGCCGCCACCAGTTCTGCGAGCAGCCGCAGGCAACAGAATCTGTCGACAAATGCTGTTTTTCAAGATTTTTCTAGATTTCCAGACGACACGTTAGGGAGTTTTTTCGCGTGGTTTTGGACCTTGCTCGTCCTTCCAAGCCATGGTGTTTTGCTGCCGGGAGCTGCTTTTTTCGAAGCTGTTTTACTGGCATCAGCAGCAGCAGCCGCCGCCACCAGTTCTGCGAGCAGCCGCAGGCAACAGAATCTGTCGACAAATGCTGTTTTTCTAGATTTCCAGACGACACGTTAGGGAGTTTTTTCGCGTGGTTTTGGACCTTGCTCGTCCTTCCGAGCCATGGTGTTTTGCTGCCGGGAGCTGCTTTTTTCGAAGCTGTTTTACCGGCATCAGCAGCAGCAGCCGCCGCCACCAGTTCTGCGAGCAGCCGCAGGCAACGCAGGCAACAGAATCTTTCGACCTTGCTCGTCCTTCAGAGCCATGGTGTTTTGCTGCCGGGGGCTGCTTTTTTCGAAGCTGTTTTACCGGCATCAGCAGCAGCAGCCGCAGGCAACAGAATCTCTCGACAAATGCTGTTT